GACTGTTGTGACTGTCCGCCGGGCGGACTTCTCGAGGAACGAGTGCTTGAGCGGCCTCTCGGCGGCGACGGCGGTGAAGTCGGTTGAGGAAGCCCGGAGGCGGGGTTACGTAAGACAGGGACTGAAGTCGAGGCGGTGACCGCTGACGACGAGCTGGCCCAAGAATGCGGCGGAGTGTCGCGGGGCTCGGTCTTGGGAGGCCTTTCCAGCCGCGGCCCCAGGGAGGGCTGGGGGATCGCTTGAGGGGTCGCTGAAGGCTGTGCGACTGCCTCAATTCCTCGAGGGAGATAGGGATCTCCTCGTGCTTGACCTGTACTGGCGACAGGTTGGGGAATGCGGGTGCCTGGTGAGGCAGGTCGGGATGGGACGGGAGTGACGTGGCGAGATGTAGATCTCGAGGTGCCAGCGTACCGGAGTGCAGGGCCGCGGGGGTGTTGGACCCGTCGGATTGGTACGAAGTGCCCTTCGTCAACAGTGATGGACCGTGGAGTGCGATTAGGGCACGGTTGCCGATCACAGATGAAGAAAGGAGGTCTGTCTTCGCTGCTCTTTGGGTTGTCACGAGAGACGTCGACCTGATCCTGGGTGTCGAAGGCGTGCTCAAGTCGAGAGCAGTCGAAGAATTCGTCAGCCACGTTGATGGGGGGAGGAAGGGGAGGTGCGCGTGCTACGAAAGGCCGTGCTAGCTAGCTTACACCTACGGCGCCCGAGGTAACACTAGGGTTCGCAGTTCACGTGGGGCCCAGTACTGCTTTTGGCTAGTATGCAGCAGGAACCTAAGCCACGCGTCCGTGAGGACAAGTACCGCCCACTGAAGTGCAGGTACTGAAGAGTTTGTCCCCTAAGTGGTGGCGATGTATAGTACGCTATCTAGGTATCGTAGGGTATAGTAAGGGTGCGCACCACCCAACCTATAGGAAGTGAATGTGAGTTTGTGAGAGTCCCGAGGGACGCCGGCAGCTGTGGAGAGTTTCGACCTAATGTCGCGACTTGAGGTCAAGCGACAGGGGGAGATCTGAAAGCTGGGGGCGTCCGACTTAAATCTCACCGAAGCGATGGTGAGCAGCGCTCAAACCTAAGGCTAGGGACAAGAAAGTGTATTAGTTAGTAAAGTAAGAAATGATACAAATGGAGGCTTACTGACCTAGGGACAAGAGGTCGAAACTGAGGTCCCTAGGGCAGCAGAGGCCGGCTTATATACATGGGGAGATTAGGGCAGGCTGTGCGCGTTGGTCCGTGCGCAGCTGGTCCGTGCACAGCATGCCGACGCGGCCCCGGGGGCCGGTGAGTCAGAGCGGCTGTGTCAGCGGAGCCCGAGCTGTGCTGTGCGCTGCCGCCCCATCTAATCTAATCGTACAGTAGATGGTGACGCGTCCATATCAGGCAGGTAGTACAGAGGTCGCGGGTTCGAGCCCGCGAAAAGGAAAAATTAAAAAACGGCTAGGCGCCGTACCAAGTCGTGACACCCCCCTTGCTGCCCCAATGTTGCGCTCCTCAGCGAATCGCAAATGGTATCGCGCATTCTTTTATGACCACCCATTACTATAGCAGAAAGACCCCACTGCATATAATAACAACAATGTCGCCGACAAGGCGAAGGTATGGTGCAGACTGTGCTATGCTATGCTATTCGAGTAGAAGAAGAGAAAACGCTCGACGCACAGCAGGTTTGTTGGAACAACGGTGCGAACGGCGCAGGGCGCGTTTGTCCATGGGCGTAGCGATGCCCGTAAGGGACAATCGCGTGCGGTACATACATCGCGCGCGGTCGTTATATACTACGATAGGGGCGTCCAGCCCCCGGCTACTCGCGCGCCCGAGCTTTCGAGCTCGTTCCTGACCACGCGGGTCAGCGTGTTTCAACAAGAATCACTAAAATGTATCTATATATCGCGTATTGTCGTCAAACACAGCCCGACGACGGGACACCACTCGAGCGCCAATTGGCGGTGAGACACTGAGATCACTGCCCATTACCCAAAGTGGCAAAGGCACGAGACCGTGGGTAAAGTCAACGGACCGTGGGTAGAGTCACGGTCATGCAAGTCATTTCCCATCAATAGTCAATGACTATGGCAAGTCATTGACTAGTCATTGACTCGCACATCACTGCCATGAGCTGCGCCCGCTGCACGGCGGGGCATCGCTCGGCCCATCGCGCCCACCCCCCTCCTCCTCTTCTCCGACCACTTCTGCGTGCACCGAGGGCGCTGTTCCGCCTGGGGCCCTTGGTAGAAGATGACGGGTTGCCGGCTCAGGAGGAGCCTGGCTGTCTTTTCTCTCGCTCTCTTTCTCTCTCACGCGGTTTTTGCGCGTCTCGGACAGTGTGATCGCACCTTGCCCTCCATGCAGCCCCATGCCTTGCTTTCGCACCCGTACATTACTACATCACTCTACTATATGACCCCATAGACACCACGCACAACAGGGGCGACACCGCCCGCGTTTCGCGGGCCGGAGCCCGCCGCATCTTAGCACTATATGTTTGCTTGTTGCGGGATATAAATTCAGAATTCATCACCATCATATTGGCAACCTGATGGTAACGATGCCAACCCCCGTCACACCGTGCACGTCGAGTGGGCCCCAGGGCACCACAGTATCGCAGGTAATGAGCTTGCTGATCACTTTGCAAAGGAGGCTACCGAGTGCGCCGCCCCCCACCAGCATGCGTTCCGAGCGGGTGCCCTGCGAGAGGCGTGGGAGCGCGCAATCCGGGAGTGGACGCCAGTGGGGCCTGCCGGTCGCTTTGCGACTGCGAACCGTCTCCTGCTGCAAGACCGGCTGCGAAAACACTTCCGCCAGTTGAAGAGCGAGGTGTTTGGGCACGTCACCCAGTGCCGCACCAGGCACTGCTTCACCGGCGAGTACTATTGCTTCTTTTTCTACGCTGAACCCAATGACTGCAGCCCGCATAGACAGACGCGGGCCCACATTCGCCAAGACTGCCTGCGGTACGTGCCCCACTGGCACATCCTCCGCGGCGTCAGCACAACCATCGACTTACCCACCATCTTGGGGACTGAAAAGGGTATTGCTGCGCTGGCGGTGTTCATTGCGCACAGTGGCACCTTCACAAAGTCAGGGGCTCCTAGGCCTGCGCAACCGGTGGTGAGGATCGAGGAGCTGGAGGAGGCTCCCGCGGCTGATGACGACCCAGTGGAAGCGGCCGGTGTGGTCGGCGAGGTGCCGTCATATGCCTAGCAAGCAAGGTGAGCTGGCCACATCATCCCTGGTCTTGATGCCAGACACTGTTATGTACCACATTACTCAGGCTCTCTACAAAGAGATCCATCATGCTGCCGTGATTGGATAACACCATCTACAGACAAACCATCACTGTACTAGCACACAGTGTCATTACGGACATCGAATATGGCTGGCTCATCTTGATAGCACCGCACAAATGAGCGCGCGAGCGTCGAGCATCGAGGCGTGCCGGTGGTGGGAAGACAAGGCGACGCGGTTGCCCTGCCGCAGCCATTGTGCGAGATATCAGTGTGCGGCCATCTGAGAGCGCGCAAATGCCTCTCTTGTAATGCATCCTATGCAGCATGTAAGCAATAGCAGATCAGCTACAAATGTTCCTCGCACGTCGCACTCGTTCGTACTGGACAGCGACGCAAACACCGGTGTTGCAGCGGATCGCGTGCGGACACTCCTCGCACATCACACTCGTTTGCACTGAACGGCGTGGCCAGCCATCCATCTCGCGTTGGAATTCACCACGTCGTCATGGCGCGTGACCGCATCTCGCGAGCATGCGAGGGATAATCCTCCGCCCTCCTGCCCTTTAGAACACGCTGCGTTCTGCGCGTTGCGGCGCTCTGGGCCAGCTCTGCGACCGCCGCACGACATGTCTGCGGCTGGCTGACAACACGGGCCCACTCTGCGACCTAGCAGGAGTGACAGCCACGGACGGCCTCGAGTCAAGACTTCCATCGTAGTGTTGATTTCTCGGACGGAGCGACAGACAGTGTGGACGCGGGGAACGGGTGTACGCCGTGGAGCCCTGCACTGTTGGCGGCGTCAATGCTGCCGTGTAAAATACGTACACGCAATCCGGTGCCGTGCGCCGTCTATGTAATGCCTGTTCACGTCTATCTGATCCCCGGATGAGTGTGCGCATGCGCCATAACATCCTCCTTGCGGCTGCGCCCGCGCGGGCTGCTTTTGCACTGAGACGGCCGTTCCGCACGCATCCCTTGCCGTTCGTTCTCTCGTCTTCTCCCACACGTGTCCCGTCTCGGCTCTGGCCGCCCACGCCCGCCTCGCGCTTCCGCTCCTGTTCCTGTCTGGTCCCTCCCACATCAATTCATTCCGCTTCGTACATGTACGAGCCAGCCGCCCGTCGTTCGCAGGCTAGCCGCACCGGCACACACGCGGACAGAAACTCCAGATGTCGATGGTATTCGGCAGGCGCCACACGTTGGGAGGGTATGCGTGCGCGCGTCGACAGGGTGACAGGACGCACATGCGCGCAAATAGGATTTGCGTACGGTAGCGGGCTCGCACGCTTGGCCGATGCCAGGAGGAGAAGGACACCGCGCGAGTGCAACACCCTCGTCTGGCAAGGATGCGGACGCACGGCGGCTTCGCGCGACTGAACGTCGGGTGTGTGTGCGCACGCGCTCAGCTGGATGCCGCACGGTAGGGCCGTCGATGCTGTCCGCAGCATCGGGAAGCGGCAGACGGCACGCAACGGGCGGCTGCAAAAATGGCAACAGGCGAGAGGCAT